CCTTTTCCATGCTCTAGCACACTTGGCTGTGGCCTCTTTACACCTCCAGTTAAACCATGGGCTCACTCTGGTCTTACCATTTTTTCTGTTGCTCTTTGGTATGAACCTTTCCTCTGCCTCCCTGCACTTAGTGGTCACTATTTCCATCATTTCATTTACTGTCTTTCCATCTAGTTCTCTTTCCCTCTGCACTTCATGCAGGAAACTTCTCATTCCTATGTAGTCCCCTTTTTTGAAGTTTGGTTTCTCTCTCTGTTCTCGTGCTACTGCATTCTCCACTGTTAACTCAACAAAATATTCAAAACTCAGGACATCATGATCACTAGCGCCAAGGGGTCTTTTGTGGGTGATATCCCTTATGTCTGAACTATTCAAGATGAATATAAGATCCAGCCTTGCTGCAACATCCTCTCCTCTCTCTCTGGTTGTATCCCTAACATGTTCATGCATGAAGTTTTCCAATACAGTCTCCAACATCTTAGCCCTCCATGTTTCTGGTCCCCCATGTGGCTCTAGGTTTTCCCAGTCAATCTCTATGATTGAAATCCCCCATTATAAGCAATTTTGTCCTACCCACATGAGCCCTCCTGGCCACTTCAGCTAGTGTATCCACCAGTGCCCTATTGCGCACATCATACTCTTCTCTTGTTCTCCTGCTGTTAAGTGGTGGGTTATACATCACTGCTATCATCACCTTTGGACCACCAGTCTGAAGTGTTCCTACAATGAAGTCGTCTGTTTCCCTTCTTTCCATTCCTCCCATCTCCTCAAAACTCCACTGGTTTTTTATGAGCAATGCTCCTCCTCCCTCTCCTCTGTTCTCTCTTTCCTCATAATCTGATATCCAGGTGGAAAAATTGCATCTGTTATCATCCCTGTAAGTTTTGTCTCTGTTAGTGCTATAATGTCAGGTGATGCATCAATGATGCATTCTTGCCACTCTTCACTCTTATTTGTTATTCCATCTGCATTGGTGTACCATACCTTTAGCTTCTTTTCCATTACTGTATTTTGGGAGATGGAAGAGGAAGGTGCAGGCTGGGAGGTAGGGCACAATATTATGGGAGGCTGCTGTGACTGTGGAATTAGTGCTTAGGGGGGGGTGGCTATGGAGTGAGGTTCGTTTCTGTCTACTGTGTTTGGTTGATATGTGGTGACAGGGGTTGAGAGGTTTCTGTAAGCATTTGTGTTTGATGTTCCCCCAAAGGCTGAGTTTTCTTGTCTGTCGTTGCCTGTCCTGTCTCTTTTTCCTTCCACTGGTTCTGTCTTGCTCTCACTTTCAGTTGTTCCCTTTCCTTTCGTGTTCTGTCTCGATTGAGGAACACTTTTTGATAATCTGCTTAGATCCATCCCCTCCTTCAGCCCCCTCGCTGCCTGCTGATGTTCCCATTTCAGTCATCTTGCTCCTTTCGGACCTCATCTTTAGATCCTGCTTCAGCACATCCATTTCTTTCTCCAATCTCTGTATCTTTGCCTCAGCTACTACAGCTCGTGATTCCCACTTCTTGCTCTCTGCAGATATTTGCTCTAACATATTATTGCAAAGCTCGTTTAACCTTTTCTCCCATTGTTGTTCCATTTTGTTCTTGAGCCGTTCTACCCATTCTTCCTTTTCTGACCAGCCATCATCGGTTCCCTTGTCTTTATGTCCTCCCTTTTGAGAGCCCATTTTGTTTTTATCCTGTTGGGATGTTCTAGCTGCTTCAGCTTATCGTAAAAATGTGTGTGGTGGGGGATTTATGAGCTAATGTGTTTGGTTAGGTTAGGTTAGTGTGTGTGTGTGTGTGGTGTGTGTGTGTGTGTGTGTGTGTGTGTGTGTGTGTGTGTGTGTGTGTGTGTGTAGCGCACACTCACCTCACCTAGTTGAGGTTGGAGGGGTCGAGTCCAAGCTCCTGGCCCCGCTTGTGTGTGTGTGTGTGTGTGTTGTGTGTATGTTGTGTGTGTGTGTGTGTGTGTGTGTGTGTGGTGGGGTGTGTGGTGTGTATTTGTGTGTGTGTGTGTGTGTGTGTGTGTGTGTATTTGTGTGTGTGTGTGTGTGTATTTGTGGTGTGTGTGTGTGTGTGTGTGTTTGTGTGTGTGTGGTGTGTGTGTGTATTTGTGTGTGTGTGTGTGTGTGTGTGTGTGTGTGTGTGTGTGTGTGTGTGTTGTGTGTGTGTGTGTGTATTTGTGTGTGTGTGTGTGTTGTGTGTGTGTGTGTGTATTTGTATGTTTGTGTTGTGTGTGTGTGTGTGTGTGTGTGTGTGTGTGTGTGTATGTATTTGTATGTTTATGTGTGTGTGTGTGTGTGTACTCACCTAATTGTGGTTGCAGAGGTCGAGACTCAGCTCCTGGCCCTGCCTCTTCACTGATCGCTACTAGGTCCTCTCTCTCTCTGCTTCCTGAGCTGTATCATACCTCTTCTTAAAACTATGTATGGTTCCTGCCTCCACTACTTCACTTGCTAGGCTATTCCACTTCCTGACGACTCTATGACTGAAGAAATACTTCCTAACGTCCCTGTGACTCGTCTGAGTCTTCAGCTTCCAGTTGTGACCCTGTGTCCCCTCTCTGGAACATCCTATCTCTGTCCACCTTGTCTATTCCCCGCAGTATCTTGTATGTCGTTATCATGTCTCCCCTGACCCTTCTGTCCTCCAGTGTCGTCAGTCCGATTTCCCTCAACCTTCCTCGTACGACATTCCCCTGAGCTCTGGGACTAGCCTTGTTGCAAACCTTTGTACTTTCTCTAACTTCTTGACGTGCTTGACCAGGTGTGGGTTCCAGACTGGTGCTGCATACTCCAGTATGGGCCTAACATACACAGTGTACAGTGTCTTGAACGATTCCTTATTAAGGTATCGGAACGCTATTCTCAGGTTTGCCAGGCGCCCATATGCTGCAGCAGTTATTTGGTTGATGTGTGCCTCCGGTGATGTGCTCAGTGTTATGGTCACCCCGAGGTCTTTCTCCCTGGGTGAGGTCTGTAGTCTTTGTCCACCTAGCCTATACTCTGTCTGCAGTCTTCTTTGCCCCTCCCCAATCTTCATGACTTGGCATTTAGCTGGATTGAATTCGAGAAGCCAGTTACTGGACCACATGTCCAGCCTGTCCAGGTCTCTTTGCAGTCCTGCCTCATCCTCATCCGATTTAATTCTTCTCATCAACTTCACATCATCTGCGAATAGGGACACTTCAGAGTCTATTCCTTCCATCATGTCGTTCACATGTATCAAAAATAGCACGAGTCCTAGAACTGACCCCTGTGGGACCCCGCTCGTCACAGGCGCCCACTGTGATACCTCTTCACGTACCATGACTCGTTGCTGCCTCCCTGTCAGGTATTCCCTGATCCATTGCAGTGCCCTCCCTGTTACATGTGCCTGATCCTCCAGCTTCTGCACTAATCTCTTGTGGGGAACTGTGTCAAAGGCCTTCCTGCAGTCTAGGAAAACGCTATCTACCCAACCCTCTCTCTCGTGTCTTACTTCTGTTACCTTGTCATAAAACTCCAGGAGGTTTGTGATACAAGATTTGCCTTCCATGAACCCATGCTGGTTTTCATTTATAATCTTGTTCCTTTCCAAGTGTTCGACCACTCTCCTCCTGACAATCTTCTCCATGACTTTGCACACAATACATGTCAGAGACACAGGTCTGTAGTTTAGCACCTCGTTTCTGTTTCCTTTCTTAAATATGGGGACTACATTAGCTGTCTTCCATTTCTCAGGTAGTTGCCCAGTTTCAAGGGATGTGTTGAAGATTGTGGTTAGAGGCATGCACAGCATCTCTGCTCCTTCTCTAAGGACCCATGGGGAGATGATGTCCGGTCCCATCGCCTTTGAGGTGTCAAGGTCACTTAGGAGCTTCTTCACCTCCTCCTCGGTTGCTCGTATGTCATCCAACACTTGTTGGTATATTCCCTCTTGATGTTCCCTTCTATGCTGTCTTCCCACAGCCCTTCCTGTCTCTACTGTAAAAACTTCCTTAAATCTCCTGTTCAGCTCCTCACATACCTCCTGATCATTTCTTGTGAGTTCTCCACCTTCTGTCCTTAATCTGATCACCTGGTCTTTGACTGTTGTCTTCCTCTGATGTGGCTATACAACAGTTTGGGTCAGTCTTGATTCTCGATGCTATGTCATTTCATATTGTCGCTGGGCCTCCCTCCTTACCTGTGCATACTCATTCCTGGCTCTGCGACTGATCTCCCTATTTTCGTGTGTTCTCTGCCTTCTGTACTTTTTCCATTCTCTATTGCACTTTGTTTTTGCCTCCTTACACCGTCGGGTAAACCAGGGGCTCGTTCTGGTCTTCCCGTTGTTACTGTTGCCCTTGGGAATAAACCTTTCCACTGCCTCCTTGCATTTTGTTGTTACATATTCCATCATTTCATTTACTGGCTTTCCTGTCAGTTCTCTGTCCCACTGGACCTCCCGCAGGAAGTTCTTCAACCCTATGTAGTCCCCTCTTTTATAGTCAGGCTTTTCCCATTCGACTCCTGTTACTCTCTCCACTTGCAGCTCTACTATGTATTAAAAGCTCAGAACCACGTGGTCGCTAGCTCCTAGGGGACTCTCATACTTGATGTCCTCAATGTTTGAGCTGCCCAGGGTGAACACAAGGTCCAATCTTGCTGGTTCATCCTCCCCTCTCACTCTGTGTGTGTGTGTGTGTGTGTGTGTGTGTGTGTGTGTGTGTGTGTGTTGTGTGTGTGTGTGTGTGTGTGTGTTTAACTGTAGTATACGAAATGCCTAATATTTCTTTTATACTTAAGTAACAATGACCACTGGGATTATAATAAAGACCCACTGTGACCTCTTTAATCCTGTTTTTTTTTTTTTTGGCTACTGCTCTCAGGATGAGCAGGGATGCAAAATAAACTTAAAATAGCTGCTCAGATGGTACAAGTAAACTATCAATGTGACTTACTTTAATCTGTGTAACTGTCCCATGTACATTATACATGGAGAAGTAAAGCTTTTGTAATCAAGTTAGAGTAATCTACAGAAAATGAGACGCACCAATACATAACCTGCCGTTGGTAGCCAGACTGTAGCCTCGAGTACAGCGACACTGGTGGGAACCCATCTTGTTGATGCAGGCACCCTCACAACCACCATTATTCACCTCACACTCGTCCACATCTGCACATCACGCAAATAAAACATATTAGTAAAATATATATCAAACAGGATGATGTAAAAGAATCACGTTCAGAAATACTGAGTAATGATTAAAAAAAATAGTACAAAACGTACTTATGTCTCTCATGTAGTGTTTCAAATAGAAGTGAATGATTTGCTTAAATTTTATACTTATTAATTGCTAGACAAATAAATACTAGCTAGCAATTTAAGGCAACACCTAATACTCCAACTACCTTAAGGAAAAATCACTCAAAATTCACTACGTTTTACTAAACCTGAAAAGAATATATTAATTTTGTAATATGCTGACTTATTTTCATGTAGTTAGATACTACTAAATATTATTGTCGAGTTCTAACTAAAAAAAAAACTCAATACAGGTGTGTGTAATGTAAATTCACTTATGAAAAGTAAGAAAGAACAATTTTATATTTCTACTGAATGGAGACTTGATATCGAAATAACCAACTCATCTCTTGCTTTCTATTTAAGTGGTTTTTATATCATATTGGCTAATACAGTCTAGCTGTGATTATTCAAATCATAGAGCATCAGATAAAAATCTAAATTAGGCAGTAGGAAACAACTGTCATCAGGATGAAATTGTTGAAGGATCGTAGAGGCACATGAAGTGTAACTTTTGGCATTAAACTTGATAAGTCTTATTTTGTTAGTTTGATAGTTACATTATTCACCTCATAGTTCTCCTGTGGAGGGTAGTGCAAGCATTACATAAGCACACGCACAAATTCAGGAAATGTGTTCCAGTATCCAATATTTTGTTAATAGTTAAGAAAGTCTAAAGTTTGTCGACTACACTAGAGTCAATGAATCTGTTTATAACTTATTTACCACCAGTCAGGAATACTTTAATCCTTAACATAGGCATTAAATTCTTTGTGTATATACACCGAGATACTATGATGTAATCTGCTTAGTTAACGGAATACTGGAGACCAGCTCCCAGACCCGAATCACATTTTTTTCACATCAGTCAATCAGAGAATAATTAGTAACTAGGAACTAAGGTGCCGGCTGTAGTTATACATACATCAGGGGTCCTGGGGGACCTACTGTGAGAAAAGCAGATGTCTTCAGCCAAGTGTGAAGCCCCAGTGAACTTATCTGCTAGACTGTTATGTTCATGGGAAAGTTATAAACATGTAGGAGTCATATATTACACCGCCTGCGAAATAGGGAGTATTTAGGTTTGGCCCAGGGAGGTGGAAGGGCAACTCCTATTAATTGGATAAAGAGCGTTTCACTTGCAATGAGGCACCTTATAAAAAAAATACCACGGGTGGGGATTGAACTCGTGGCGATGAGTCGTAAAACTCCAGGCACCTCCTTGAAGAATTATCCCAAGCGGAGCAGTCGTGAGCGAGACGAACTCCTATCGTCTTGCGCAGTGGTATAATTAATTATCACTAACTTTCTTAATTATCAAAATATTGGGGGCCCAGTTCCCGGACCCATTATGTGCCTCTGTAATCTTTTGACTACCACCCACAGAATTAGTTTGGGGCGCATATTAAAGCTATTAAACTAACATGAATAAGGTCCCACTAAATTTACCTTGACAAGAATTTGTCTAGGGCAAGTAAGGTCCCAGTAGACTTACCTTGACAAAAGAAGTTGTTGAGGCCAAGTGCAAGGTCCCATGAAGACTTACCTTCACACAATATGCCGTCTTGGGCTAGCGTGAAGCCCTTGTAACAGAGACACTGCCTGCCAGTACTGGTGGGCTCGCATATCTGCTGACACCCGCCGTTGTCAGATCCACACTCCCCGCTGCTAGCCTGGTGAGCTGCCCAGGGATAATTGGCAGGATTGAATATTTATTCAGATTTTGCCCAGAGGGGCGAGTTTATAAGGCAGCACCGTACATCCTGTGAGTGAACATACAGCCATAAGATTAGTTTTCCGGAACCTCTTTAAAGAGACATTCATAACCCTGTATACGACGCGTCACAGCCATGTATGCAGTGCCAACACTATGGAACATACACCAGCTAAAACATGGCAAGAAATTAGAAAAATGGGGACTGGCTTTGCCCTAGAAATGGAAAGCTGGACAGGTTAAGTATGGAAATTCACAAACCCAGATAACAAGGAATTTCCTGAGGCGCTTGTGAGAAATATACAATGAAGGAGAATCAAGGTTGGAGGCAAATATTCAGGACAAGAAAGAAGAGACAAATATAAGAATGCAAGACTGATTAAAACACAAATGAGGAAGAGGTGACAATAGCAAGAAAACAAGAAACAAACTGGCGAAATATGCCGAGGGAATGATAAACATGAGAATCCAGATCACCTCTCAGAAAACGAAAAGGAATGCAGGTACTTCCACCTAGAGATGTGCAAAACCGAGCTCAGAGCATGTTATGCTCTGAGTAAAATGTGAAAGGAACGTGATGCTACCGAGAAAGCAGGCGTATGGAAAACGAACAGTATTCTTTTAAAGACGAAGGGAGAGAAACGAGCAGATCCAAAGAAGGGACAAAGAAGTGGTACAAAGGTGTACAACAGTGTGACAAATCAAGCCGGTCGAACACACATTAGGGTTAAACGTACAACAGACACAAAGAACATTAGTAACAAGAGCAAAATCTAGCATTAGCGAAGACAAAAGCTCAGCCCCCAAAGGCCGCTTCCCTTGCGCCTCTACTGTTTCTCATCCTCACAGCAGACAAATTTCATTTTTAAAAATGGTACGGTATTGTTTTCGTGAAATAATTTAAGCATGCCTCATCTGAACAGCTTGAAGCTTTATACTTCTAATGAAATTGACAATGCTCTCTAAGGTTAGGTTGAATATTTCCAAGTTCGCCAATTTACCAACATAATAAACTTGGAATTGTGGGATTCTGAAGCATGTCAGTAAAGGAGTTGTGTGCTCAAATAAAGGTTCAATTGTTATTAGGATGTGTAAATTTTAATATGCCAGTTTTACTGAACAAATTTTCTATGTAATAACTGGAGACTGCATCTTCTGCTCGGCTTCACCCTCATGTAGCTTAAAAAAAAATTAACTGGGTTGTGTAGGGAACAATTTGCCAATTTTATTGAAGTGGAAGATTTTAAATGTTTTCTTAAAATAACATCTCTTATAGGCTTCCAATATTTACTGGTGATATTTGCTTGGATTAGAAACTTATGCATTGAAGTACATGGGGCTGGATTAATGGGATATGTGGGATACCTCTCTCAGATCGCGCTGCGACCGAAGCTAGTTCTCTCATAGGGAACTTTGTGAAGCTGTAAGGAAAACTTGAACGTGGAGATAATTAAGTACTGAGGGCGTCTCGCAGGAATTGTAGCCGGGAAAATGGCAGCCAAGAGGTGTGAGTCACATTGCATCATGAATATTGTATGAGCCTCGTTTAAGGAAGCCCAGGAGCCGCTCTGGTTGAGTATTTGATTAATGGAGCTCAGTCGCTGATGTGACTTGCGGTCTGCTGCAATTTGTTGGGGATAGTTAAGCTGCAAGTCAGGTAACATTCAGCCATCTTCCTCAAAGATTGTGTCAGTGTAGTTCTTGTAGCATCCTCGTATCGCGAACATAATACCCACACCTGTTACTGACTATATTTTCTTGAGACAAGCCATTCATACGTTATCACTTAATTATTCTTCATTATAATTGCGATATACTCAAAACAAGTACGAAGCCCATATAGAGGTAGTAGTAGTGATATTTACAGAGCACTGTAACCATTTAAGCACGTACTACTGATTCTGCAGTTATTGTTTTTGTTAGTGTATTTGGAAAAAACAATTAAGGGTATGGAGGCAGCAAAACAAAAACAGTAAAAAATAAATCAACCATAATTTTTAAAGGAGTGGACCGGTAAGCCAGTGGAAGACCTCGGTCAGACGACCAAAAGCTCTAGCGGTGGGTCATCGTTTGACTAAGACCAGCGTCTGGAAACGCTTGTCCTGTTTCCTGACAAACCTTCCCTAACCTAAACAAAAACACAAGGTAGAATGGACACTATTTATAGAGAATAACTGGAAAAAGTGGGAGTATAAAGGGGAAACTGTAGGAGTGGTGCATGTGTCCTGAGAAAGTAAACAACAGTAAAGAGCAGGTCCAGGAATTTGCCGAGCAAGAGGAACTTGACAAGATGAAAATTCCTCCATCCCCGTAAATTCGTGGTGTCCGTGGTAATAAAAAAAAATATTGTGACTAACACAGGTAATCATAATATTTTCACTATGTTCTTCCGGGCATTAACCGTGAATTCAGGGTTCTATGTTCCTACACATATTGGAATGACGTAGATCAGAAGCTAGTAGTATCAACTTCAATCATCACAAAGGACACCATCGTACAGACCTTTTGCTAGGTAAACTTAATTTGATATTTACAGTTGTCCACACCTCTCCACCTATGTTGAATTTTTTTTTGGGATTTATTAATCAGGAGGGTTAGTGGCCTACATAAGCCATGTCATAAGACTTTCCAGTGAGGTCTTTTTAATCCTCTCCCTCAGGAAGTGACTCACGAGTTGGTATTACCTTATCGTTATTATATACCATAAATGTAATGACACAGTGGGCTACCGCCCAGGTACCTACTTACTGTTAGGTGAACAGGGGCAGTAGGTATAAGGAAACATGCGCAACGTTTCCACTCGTCAGGAATCGAACCCCGGTTCCTCTCTACAGAATTCAAAAAGCTTAGTCACCAAGTGAAACAGTCTAAAAAAAAAAAAGGTGTTCACTAACTTTGCGTCTGGTTTAAAATTTCTTTGTCTTTTATACCTCTTACGCCAATTATGGAGGTTCTTTAAGTGCCAGTCGTCAAAATAAAAATATCCTCTCAGACCATATACGTGGTGTCAACAAGAAGTTAATCTGATATTCAAGACAGGCAATAAAGTTTTATTTCAAGTGTGTTTATGGGTAGTTATCGCGTGGTGAACAAATATGTAGGTGAGGCCTAACATGCCTTACCTGCTGCTCACGTCATCAACAGCAATTAAAAATAATTACTTAAATATTAAAAGACGCAGTCAGACGAGTGTATCGTGCGAGCCTACCAAGAGAGGGAGGGTGAGGTCCTAGTTGCCGAGCGCTTCAGTATAAGAAACTGGACTAGTCCCTCGTACCTTGTATAGAAACTAATTGAACTAAGGCACTAACTAGACTTGTCCTCTCCTTTCTCGGACAGAACACGACTGAACTAAGGCAATGGACTAGTCCTTTCCTAAGAAGGAAAGAACCTGATTGCCTCCCATTACTCAGGCATTTCATGATCCCTACGGGATCATAATAATGATAATATCTAATGAGAGAAACTTATTTTCACCTAATACATACATACATTAAATAAATACATAAATAAATAAAATACACACACACACAAAAGACAGTACGAAAACGACATAGCATCGAAAGTCAAGTTCATGTTCATGTTGTAAACAGTTGCCAGCAGTCGCCAGAACCTTCCCACGCAGGTCTGCTAAGGGGGGTTACCAATAGACCCCTGGCTGTCTTCAAGCAGGCACTGGACAAGCACCTAAAATCGGTACCTGACCAGCCGGGCTGTGGCTCGTACGTTGGATTGCGTGCAGCCAGCAGTAACAGCCTGGTTGATCAGGCCCTGTTCCACCATGAGGCCTGGTCACAGACCGGGCCGCGGGGCCGTTGACCCCCGGAACTCTCTCCAGGTAAACTCCAGGTAAGTCTGACCCGAAGCTGTTGTATAGCCACATCAGGAGAGGACAACAGTCAAGGACCAGGTAATCAGGCTGAAGAAAGGTGGGGAGCTCACAAGAAACGACCAAGAAGTATGTGAGGAGCTCAACATGAGATTTAAGAAAGTATTTACAGTGGAGACAGAAAGGACTGTGGGAAATCAGAATAGGAGGGTACACCAACAAGGGATATACCAACAAGTTCTGGATGAAATACACACATCCGAGGAGGAAGTGAAGAAGCTGCTAGGAACTTGAATCTCAGAAGCCGTGGACCGACAAATCTCTCGTGGCTCTAGAGAGGGAGCAAGTCAGTGGCCATAAGCAAGAAAGTGGGGAGCATCACAGAAACGGGAATACTGAGTATGGAAGAGGCAAATGATTTACAAAATATTTTAATGAACGAAAGGACAGCGGAAATAAACTAAGCGAGTGACCAACTAGGGATTATAACCAACAAGTTCTATAAAAACATCACGAGAGGATGTGAGAAGTGCTCAAGGAACTTGCAATAACAAAGCCGTGGTAGGACAATACCTCTGGACTTTGAGAGATCAGTTCCGAAGTGTTTCCCAACAATTTAGCACATCCATGAAGTCGGAAAAGTTATGAGGAGGAAACGTGAATGAGTCGATTAATACAGAAAGCTTCTATCACTCTGACCGACTAAGAAGACCTACTGTGTATTGAACTTTAGAAATAAAAGATACGAACTTTAGCAAGAGTGTTACAACATAGCGGTATCAACTAAACGTCAACGAACCACTGGATTCAGGGCAGGAAAATCCTGTGTCACAAACCTACTGGAGTTTTATGACAAGGTAATGGAAGACACGAGAGAGAGGGATGGGTAGATTGCACTTTCTTGGACTGCAAGAAGACCTTCGACACAGTTCCTCACAAGAGATTAGTGCAAAAGCTAGAGGATCAGGCATACATAACAGGAAGGGCACTGCAATGGATCAAAGAAGAATACCGGACAGGGAGGCAACGAGTCATGGTACTTAACAAGGTGCCAGAGTGGGCGCCTGTGACGAGCGGGGTTCCACAGGGGTCACTCCTAGGACCAGTGTTATTTTTGGTATAGGTGAATGGCATGACG